TGAAGGAAAGTCATAAATGTTCATTAAACAGAAATACTGTTAATACTCTTAATTTTTCCTGACAGAGCATGTAAAATACATGTACACTTCAAGTGAATCAACCTCATTAAATATCAAATATCTCAAACTGGAAACTAATCTCTCAGAAGTAGGTTAAAAGCCTTTCAAAAAGAGAGTCAAAACTATTTAAACATGCTTACAAAAAATACAGCTGTAGAAATAAAAGCTAAAAATACTACATAGTAATTACGAATTGTTGACATGTTTCTACTAAGCTTCATATATGTAACCTTATGAAAGCTTAAATTCAGCATTGATGTGCATGTAGCTTCTGTATCAGGTCAGCATGTTTTAGAAGGAATGTATAGAAGTTTCTTCTCTACAGCTTCAGCACAGTTAAGGTGACTTGCAAGAAGCAAGACTGTAATGACAACTCTTGAAAAATAGGAGATGCAACATCTTGGTAAGGGAAAGTACTGACAAATATATTTATGAAATATCTTAGGCCTCTTAATTAACTTGTGGTAGTATAAACATGCTGAAGAAATTAGGCTGTGGTATTTAAAAATATATTAAAAAAATAAAATTGGACAGTCCAGAAAGCCTAATTTCTGTAATTACTTAACGTTTACTGAAGTCATTTGTAATTAGTAATATTTTCCACTAAATAGTTTATATAATGAAAAGGCTTAGTCAAGCTTCACTTCAATTCCTGTTCTTAACTTGCTTCACTATTTTGGTTTAATACTTTATAATCTAAGTCTTTCAGTTCAGTGGTGTGCTTTAATTTGGAACAGGGTACTTTTAGTCAGGTGAATGGAATGTTATGCTGTTTGAGATTTGATGCTGAGTATGGTTTGGATTCTGACAGCTGGACTTTCCTTGGCCTCCTCATGCCATCACAAAAGCTTTCAAACATGGTTTTATAGTGCAAGCCTTGTCCCTGCATAAATGTAAATTACAAGTTTCATAATGCCTGAAAGTCATTCCTCAGGGCATAAACCCTAATGTTGCTGATAAAGGATGTTGTAGTGAAAGGTCTCCTGTAATAAGAAGTGCAGTACAGAGAGATACTTGTAGAAAATCATGTTCAGTTTTTGTTTCCGAGCTACCCTGTGAAAAAGATGCCAAGATGGAAATGCTGACAGAGGGTTGCAAAAGATCCTCTCCTAGAGGTGTTCTCCATTCTACCACAGATTGCATCTTTCTAGAACAGCTTAGCAAGATGCCAAAATTTACAGGTGGAGTTTCTTCACAGAAGTAGTTCTGTATATTAAAGAGCCATAATGAAAATAAGGCTTGGACTCTACTGATAAAGCTTAAAAACTAAAAGAATTTTATGCTGTAGTATGGCCTGGTTTTACCATACTAGGAGCATCATCAAGGAGAGAGAAAGCAAGCACCTAATGTATTGCATATGCAAAAGAGCTGATAGGTTTATGTCAGATCTGGGGCCTTCAAGGCATATATTTGTTATGAGTCTGCCAAACTCTGTTCTGTGGGGAACAGAGCAAAGGAAATTAGAATGTATTTGAACCTTTTGAAAATTGGGGTAATATACGTATATTATATTAGGTATTATATGGGTATATATATCAAATACTACCAGAATAAGAAAAAGCATCTAAATCACTTAATACTACTTTTGTTATCCTCCCCTTTCTTTCTGTATGAATTCAGGAAATACATCAGATGTTTAAAAATGTGAGGTTTTTTTCCCAACATTAAAAATATCTTTATTAATGTAAAAATCTGTAGTAATTTTCATTTTACTAGAAGAAATAAAACATTGATATATAATCTTGAAAGAAGTAATAGTATGCAGAAATGTTTGCCCGTGGGAAATAGCTGCTCAGATGGACCATAGTTATTTTGAATCCCAGAAGTACATTTTCATGACCCGCAGTGTCTGGGTTTCCATCAGAGAGCTCAGGCTGCCAAAGGGTGGCAAGCCAGCACTGGCAAGTTGCATATACGCAACTGTACATTCAGAGTGATGTATTTTGTCGTGTTACTCTTGCAGTTTGTTTTTTTATTGATTGTCTTCCTTGCAACCAGTAAAAACTTTTAAAATTTTATTTAAAGAACAATAAGATATCTGCATTTTAAATGTGTGCATTTTTACACTGAAAGTATAAAACAATGCAGTAAAAATTTTGTTATATACTTTCACTGTTAATATACAAATTAAATTATGGAAGCAATTCTGTATCTTATTAATTGAGCAGGACTTACTGTATAATAAAGTTGGGTCCACTTACATTTCTTGAATCTTTTTTATCAATAAAAAGCGTAGCAGTGATGGGGAACATGAAAATTCATGATGCATTTTGGGTTGTTTTGAACATCTCTCACTTGTGAGGTTTTTAAGCCTTGTATGCTGAATACAGTTCGTGCATAAAATTGGTCTTTAAAGGGAGCAACCTTAAATTCGCAAAGACTGAGTTAGGTTAGCTGCCCTTTTCCAGGTCTGCTTTTCATGTACTTCAAGATAGAGAGAATGTGCATCAGCTTAACTCAGGAGGAGTCCTTTTACAAACTGGGGGGTTTCTCACTGTAAGGAATAATACTTGATTTGGACATCAGGTGTGATATATGTGCATAGTGACACCTCTGATAATCAGTTCTCCTCCTAGGACTATGCATAACATTTAACTAAATAAAAACCTGCCACTATAAAAAACTAAAGCCATCAAAGTACTAAACCAGTTTCTTGTAATTGTTACAAATAACACCTAATTAATTATAAAGAATTGAGCTGGCTTACTGAATTCACTCCAGCATCTAATCTTGCTTTACATTCTCACAGTTGCTGTGCTGATTGATATGTAAGTTTCGCCTTTTAAAACTGATTTATGGAGTTGTAAAATTAATTTTACAAAAGCAAAATAAAGGGAAAATAGTATATTCCTATGTAAACTGAAGCAGTATAACAAGGAATATTTATGGCAGATGTTTTTTAAATAGGTATCGCTTTAGGTTAAATTATTTTTTAATTCATTTTCTACCAGTAATTAGTAAAGAATTGGAAGTAAAAAGTAAAATTTCAGAACACTTTCAGTAACGTCTATCATTCCAAAAGATAAATAGCAGTTAGTTTTCTGGGGTCTTTCTGTAGGTAACTAAACCAGAATATTATTCTTACAGATAATTCTGTACTTGGCATCTGAAGATAGAGTATCTGTGGCTCAGTGATCCATAACAACAAATGTTTGGAATAGCGATAAAGGAGTTTCTCAGCTAGCCACTTCAGAGGCTTTTTTTAAGGAAAAGTAGTCTTTTCATTTAGATGTGAGGGCAGTTTAATAACTTCATAGAAATGAATTAAAAGGATTTTCTGTGAAACAGTAGCTGGTAAATCTGCATTGCTACTGGGCTGAATCCCTTTTAGGCAAACATCTAGCTGTTTCTATATAATTATCACAATGACAATTATACTAACTATGAAATGCAGATTAGCTCTGTATTGTTAAATTTATACCCCCCCCCTTTTTTTTTTAACTCATCCCTTTAGCATTACATACAAGGTAGATCTCATTAGTTTGTGAAGTTGCTGCAGGTGACAAATTAAAGAGCAAAACTACCAATCTGTGCATCCGATTGAAAACGAAATATACAGTTTGATCACTAAATTCACTCTTAGTAAAAGGCAGGTATAAGTATTTCTGTGACAGGGCAAAGACAGTGATAAGCTACCACTTCTGATCTTAATCTGTCCAGTCCCTATAATACAGATTACAGATTCTTTGTTTTGTTTGGGTTTTTTTCTCCCAAGATGTGAACTGCTAAGTAACAAGACTTACAGTTTTCTAAAAAGAGAATTTCAAATCTCTGTAATATATCAGAGGTGAAGTAGTAGAAGCAGGTTTTGTTCTCTTAGGGCTTAACTCTTCAAGATTCTGTTCCCCTTTGCTCCTGAACTGAATAGTTTTCAACAGGATCTTGAGAGTACTTAAAGCTTGACAGGGCTTTCATCATCTTCCAAAACTAAGTTTTCCAGGTAATCCTTCGTACAAGCTGGAACTAGTTCCTTCTAGCTCTGATTTGCATAAAAGCTGTGCAAAACAAAACAACCTCACTTTTTCACCATGCCTAGTAGTGCAGGCTGGAGGAGCTACATGCAATTTGGAGTAAAACAGCACTCAAGTGTTAAAATTTCACCCAGATTCTCTATTAATCCTGCACAGCACAAAAATAATTCAAGGAATCTGTGTAGATGTTTATAAGGGAATCATCTGATGTTATATCTTAAACATGGTTTCCACTAAGCCAAATCCTGTTTGCTTTGCCTTCGGAAAGGACAAAACAGGATTTGTGCCGTAATGAAGTTTTCTGCATTTTGGAATAGTAGAGTATTTAGCATTTCTCTTTTTATGTTTACCTAGTTTAAAAAAGAATTTTGCAAGAGAAGGTTTATTATTACTCTTATCTGTAGTTCATTCTCTTTAGATTCTGCAAGACTTTTCTATGTATTCGGATGACAGTATATAAGAATATACTATGTCTTTTTTTAACAAATAGCAGAACGTTCATTTTCTGATTGCAATCATATTAGACCTATAAAAAGCAAAGTATTTTACTTTCAGTATCTTCCTTTCAGATGCACAAAGCAAATTGCAATTATTTTAAAAAAACCCATGCTTTTTACATATTTTGCAGCAGCGCCCTTTGATATCTATATCAAGATAAATATTGGGGATTTTATTAGACTTCATAAATATAATGACATATCTGTAACACTAAACATGAAGCTTCCGATGCAAGACTTTGTACATAGTCCATATCCAAATGTCACCATTATTTCATTTAAAAGATCCCAGCATGTCTATCTCATGATCCTTATAAACTCTATAGTCCTGAAATACGTCAACACTTTTTCTTGCTACATTCATTAAAATTAAGCACCCTTACCCTACCCCATCTGTAAACATCAAGTCAATTGGCAGCTAGCACATTTCCCAGTCAGCAAGCAGTATTGTGAATTTTATCTTCTCTTGCAGAAATCAATTCGTCTTCGTTGCAGCAGATGAAATTTCTTGTAACACCTCTGCAGGTAACAATCATTGATACTTCTTGATGCATCCATCCAGGTCTCAATATCCTTTTTCACATGCTGCATTTAATCGTAAGAGAAAGCATAGAAAAGTCCATAGTATAAATCTTTGGAATAGTTTAATTAATTTATAGCTTCAGCCTGTAGGTTCTGTCATATAAAAGACGTTAGGTTATTTTGCTGACTTTGGTGTTTTATTTCTAGTTTAAATATCATATATGGGCTAGTAAGTAAGGATATATTAAACCTTCTAATAAAAACTTACTGTGCAGTACAATCAAGACTGTGACTTTTCAAAAAGCTAAAACAAACAGAAATAATGAAAAAAGTCCTAGATGAATGTAGGACATTGTAAGTGCTATAGATCTAACAACTTTCTTTTCAACTCTTTGGGGGCAAATATTGCCCACAAGGATAACGCACACCCTAGAGCACTCACAAAGTCTATCCTATGGATAAGATAGTGGGAGAGAGGGTCTATGTCTTCAGAGGATCGCTCTCTAGTAAGTAAAGTCTTCATATGCTGTCGTGTTGTAAGCCATGGCACAGAAGAAAGAACGGTGTTTTGAAAAGGTAATGGAAACTTATATTGAATATGACAAGGGATTTTCTCTTTTTTAAGCAATAGAGTTTGATCAGTCTTAATTCAGGTAAGGATGTTATTATGTTGGTACATAAGAAAACAAAAGCCAACATAAGTAGTAGGAGTGCCGGGATATATTCTGCCAATAATGTTATGCAAAGCATCTACTGAGTTCATAGAAGCTGCTTGTATTGAAGGATGAAAGGGTATATAGAGTGTGACACAAAATGTTGGTATTAAGAAGTGCTTATTAATAGAGTTTTACATTAGCAGAAATAAATGAAAAATAAAGAGTTTGCTGTTTATGCTATAGTGACCTACATAGAAACAAATAATGAACATTTATTTATGAAAAAGAAGATCATAGCTAAAGCCAAAACGTGCTAAGATTGTAATAATCTGTATGATAGCCATAGCATTTTCGGTGGTAATCTGAAAAGTTCTTCTGTAATAAAACCTGATTAAATACAGACTTTCAGTGTTCTAAATCATTAAGAGAATACATTTTAGAAGCCAATATTTTATACTTTCTTGATCTCACCAGGCTTGGGTTTTGGCTTTCATTATTTCTCTTGCACTTCCTGCTCAGCTCTAGATTAGAGTGAGCTGTAGTAGGAAGGCTACTAATTCATAAATTTAGGCCTTGCTATGTAAGAAAAAAATATAATTGTTTTAGCAATTTTTTAACTTGGAAATCTTGAGCTAGACATGGGGTCTTTAATAAATTTCTTGTCCTGAATGTTCCTGTTTTGCAGAGAGAACCCTTCTAAAAATAATTATTTCTCTAATAAAGACATTTCTCCCCTCACAATTTAAGTGTCCAAGTCTATAATATATGTATTCCATGTATGACTACTTTGCAATTTCAGTAAAAAATACAGCACTCTTATGTATCAGCAAATTCAGTGAACTTTGCACACAAGGAAATGGATCTTTGTTTATATTTGTTAAAACTTTTCAGTTTACCAGTTTCTTAACTCTGTTGAATTGTTTCAACAATAAGGTATTTTTGTTAGGTATCTTTTTTACCATATGGTAAACTTATCTGTCACAGGTGACTTAGGTGCCTTTTTTTGTAAGATGATCTGCAGCAGAAAACTAATAAAAGCCTGTATCTTCTGTTTCTTTTATACCTAAGTGTTAGTCATAGAATTTAAAGGACTTTTGGCTTTATTTAAAGATAATTCTCTGGTCCATATTCCTGTGGTACCAGTTGCTGAAGTTGTGTTTGGTCTTTCAGATCTGTAAGTTAACTTTAAATTAGCTGATGTTTCAATTTTTAATACATGGAGCATATATAGAGATATGTAAACTTGTAGAATCAAAGCTAACCTTCCTGTGGTTTTTCAGATGCATGCAAAACAACTACAGTACAATTTTATAGTTCTTTTTTTTAGTGCTCCTAAACTCAATTGCAGTAATTCAACTGTTTGTAAAAGTGATATAAAGTGAAGATGCTGATAATATGCTCAGTGTTTGAATTGTGAGTATATGTATGTTTGTAATGTTTCCCTGTAAAGAATGTGTGTACTTGTAGATTTCAAATCATAATAAGAAACTTTTGGTTGGAGCTTTATCTTCACATGCAAATGGGAGGTCTTGCATGGTTCTCCTGGTAATATTCATTGTTCTCTTCCTGATACTGTATCATTCCTGCCAGAGGATACTTAACTCTCAGCCACATGATACCTTTTTTTTGATTTGGGAATAAAGTAATCTTGAATAAAGAAATGTGTTAATAAACGGATAGCATGTCCATATACACATTTCTATTAGTGTACGTGTATCTGTTCTTTCATGCATATTTTATAAAGAAAATATATTCAAGTAGCTGAAGGAAGGATCCTTCCATGGGAAATCTAAAAATATTTCACCCTTGATTGCATCCAGTGCGTTCTGAGGCTAAAAATAATTACTCTGCAGAAGAGTTCTGCACTTCTGGGATAGATCTTCTCTGGCAGGCATGATTAAAGAGTTTGCAAACAGACTTGAACTAGAACAGAAGTAGGGAAACTATGAGAAACCTTCTGTCAGTTTGATGATAGAATTTTAGCAAGGATCTTTTAAGACCTTCCTCTAGCAAATCTCTGGTAATAGCTATGTTAGGGGAGAATTAATCCTGAGGTTCCTGGCTGATGGGGTCAGTGGGCATCTTGCCCTGTCCAGCTTATAATAAATCATAATGAGACCCAGAATAAACCCATGGTTTATTTACATGTTGGTTACAGAACATTGTTAATTTTGAGTCTTTAGCATTTTTAGTGAACTTTTCAAACCAGTGCTCAATGTTTGTTTGTTTGTTTGTTTTAATTTTAGGTTTTGTAATATTGAAATTCATAGTTTGAAAGAAAAGAAAAATGTTTTGTGGTGTCTTTTCAAAGTACATTCTCAGTTTATGATTCTTGTACAGTTTCTGTCTGTATGGGATGGAATCATTATTCTGTATTTGTATTACTCTTTCTTTCTTCCTCCAATTTTAACAGTTATCCATCTGCAAACAAAAAAAAATCCTGTGCAGATGCATGCTTGGTATTATTTTTCTCCCAAGTGTATATACAGTTTATGATTTTGAAATAACAGAGAGAGAGAGGCAAGTGCATATATAAACCTGAATTTGGAATGAAGTATGGTAGAAGTGGATATAACATCTGTCCAATTGTGACTGTATTTATTTACATATTTGAGCAGAATCATTCCCAGGAGGTGAGATTGTATGTGTGTGTGCAAAAGAAATGCATTATAAAGCTTTAGAAGTTGACAGTCTCAGATTAAGTCATTGACCTCCGTTTGGAGAAAGATACAGTCTCCAAAACAGATTAAACATTCTGAAAGGTTTAATTTCGTAACTGTAGGAAAAACATTTCATAAAAGCAGGCAGCTTAAGGAAGCAAACACTGGATTTTGTACTGTTGAAATAGCTTCAACAGAATATTGGCAATTTTTAACTAATGCAATTGTTCAAATCATTGCAGTTTTTCTGTATGCTGTAACTGTCATCGCTAACACTACCACGAATTTAATTCATGAAACAAAAACAAATACAGAGATACTCATTTAAAAGCAAATTCATATCTGACGAAGGGCTTGGAATGGTTGTGATGCCTGTTATGGCATTCCTTTACTAAGTACATAAATGATCATAGCCGGTCAAAATTTTGCCATATATGCATGCATACATCTCATTGACTTATTCACTTGTCTGGTAAGAGATATTGATCACATTATACTCTGTCAAAGGAACTTCTGAGAAGTGCATACAATCCAAACTGCTTGGAAGTATGCATTTTCAGAGATACTTCCTTAACCTCTTTGAATTACTGTGCTAAGACATATGTTCAGTTGTGAGAAGTTCTTCCCTTTTAGTATTGCTGCCTATGGGTTTGACTTCATGAAGCAATTTGACTGGGCAAATGACCATTTTTAATTAGGTGCTTTTATTATTTCATTATGCTCTTTGACTAATCAGATAAAAAATGAAGGAGCATTTGTGAGGTCTTTCTGCTATGTTTAGTTAAGGCCATACTTCTTTTCCCTGTGAAAACCAGCAGATACTGAAGCTTTTGCTCTGCAAAGGCTAGGAAGTGTTGCACTAAAGCACAGTATTAAACTTCTTCTATAAATTCAAGTGTCCTTTATGTTGGCAGTTTAAACTTGTGTTTACTGCTGCTGTAAATAGTCATTTATATGGAATTCCATTTGTTATAGCTTTTACTGTTCTTGGTAGTCATGTGGTAAAGATGTTCAGCTATTGGATCGGTTGATAAAAATCAGTAAACACTTGGATTATTCTCTGTTCTTCTTTCATGAAGTTTGATTAATTCCTTTTTCTCACCCAGTGAAAACACTGGCAGCCCTTTTTGGCATCTTTGTCATTATCTCTTTGACAGCTTGCCTTCCCGGTGCTTACAGTTCTAGGTCAGTTCGCATGGCTAGTCAAATGTGACAACATGACAAGATTAAGTAAAGCTGAGGTTCTGTGATTTGTAAATGGAGGATTTGTAATGTGAAGCTCCTTTGGTAACAAATAGTGAATAATCTGTGTCTGCCTTCAACAAGTGTGTGTAAGCACGTGTGCATCTCCTATACTGTTGTTTTTTTTTCATGAAGCAACCAGAATTTTTTTCTCTAATAGACTGAAAGTAGTGCACACAAAGTGTGGTGTGTGTCTGTGCATGTATGAATGGTTATATACAAGTACATTAAAGGATTCAGTTTTAATATCATGAGATTATCATATTACATTTGAAATATTTAATAAAAAAACTGTATAATTGCATATTACAGAACTTTAAACACAAGAACAAAAGATTGCTTTAAAAACTAATAAACAAAGTACCCAATATATTTCTAATTGAACTAGATAAGAATTTATTCAAGGTTTATTGTAACAAATGATAACAGCAATAGTAATAGGAAA